CTTTTCTGCCTACTAAATTCTTACTCAGCAGCACTGGAAACCCTGCTTAAATCTTCCCTCTTTAGCAACACCATCTCAGCGTCTTCCAGCTCCTTGCCTTGTACTTCTAGCCCTCTAACCACACTTTGATAATATCTCCTATCACATGTGTGGCAATGTTTCTGTGTAAGGCGTGCTCACACATTTTGGGGAGAAAGCAACTTAGAACTATCTCTTTGGGAGAGCATTTTGGACGTGTCTGTGAATGTGGCAATGTATTAATACACACCCTCTGGCACAATAATCCCACTGCTGGGACTCGGTCCTCTGGATATACTCACACATTAAGCAACAAGGCTGCTGTAACACTATTTGCTCTAACAGAAGAAATGACTGAAGCGTGGTTCATGGGTTTGGTTAAATAAATACAATAGGGTACTAGAAAGCTGTTCAAAAGAATCAAAAATCTCTCTCTATACTGGTATCTGAAACTATTTTCCCAAGCTTATTTGATTTGTTTGATAATGTTTTTCCCCAGTTTTATTGAAGTATGAATGAAATGACAAACAAATAAAGAATTTTGACTTAATAGTTCAAATCAGCCCCCCAAAAGGGTGTGTCTGTCCCCTCTCGCTCTCCCTCTTCCCAAGTCCATGTATTTTGTTTCCCATGGCCATTACGCAAGTGAAGACAAATTTAGCAATGGTTTTCACTGGACTTGAGGTATGAGATGAAGGGGATCAGAAAATGTCACCCCAAGATGTAAAGATGGGCCAAAGGATGTTGAATGAGATTTGGACTAGAATCCTCTCATTCTAAGCAGGTCTGATAACCTTCCCATGTGGCCGGAAGCCTGATGTCTGTCTGACCTTGACCAATTCTTTTAAATGGCTTATTGATTTCAGTGATGGAAGTAAAGCGGCCTAAATATTCCACTGTCTTGGGAAAATAAATTCAAGGGGCTTTGAAGAAGCAAATGTCAATGTTTTGGGTTCTTTCATATTTACAGTAAAAACATCATAAAACTTCAAAGATGTCACACATATGCTGCTTATATAACACCTTTGAGAGGGAAAAGGTTTTCATCTAAAATGATCTGAAGTTTTGTATAATTTTTTCCTCTCTGAATAAATGAATCAGTTAAAGCTATCACTAGATGACAGCTAGGGATGACTTTTATACTTTCATTTATAGATTTATTGTTCTCTGTACTACAGTTTCTAAATTTTCTATAACAAAAACATATTACTTCCTTTTTTAGCTATAAGATTTTTTTAAGCAAAATGGATAAGGTCAGCCATCCACTTGCAGATAGGCAACAATCTAAGACATTATCTGGAGATACCTAAATCTCCCCCGTTAGTTTCAAGAGCTTCAGGGACAAGATCTTATTTTATTATTCCTTGGAGCCCCAGGGTCTAGCACAGGGCCTAAAATATAAGCTGCATGTATTAAGTAGTGTTTAGCAAACAAATTTTGGATATGGCCACTAACCCAAACTCTGGGATAACCTCAGGAAGGTAAAAAAGGAAATGAAGTAGCAGGACTCTCCTGACAGCCACTGACCAGGATGCTGAAAGAACATTCCTTTGGAAAAAGATACCCCTACAGAGTATATGCCAATCACCCTGATAGATACATCAGCCCACATTATAGCTAAGCGTCCACTGCTACTAAAATCTTCCCGTAAGTCCTCTGTCCTCCTTCACCTAGCTCCCCTCATTTCCACACTGCCTCTGAAATTGAACCATGCTGCTTCGCCTGGATCTTGCACCGCAGGAAGCTCTAGAGACCAGCATAATGATGTCCCACTTGTGTTTCTTGTAGAGATGTCCAGTCCACTCCAATACTTAAAGAAAACCCACCCATGAGAAGTTCATTTCAGATCTCACTACCACTGTAATAACTCTTCTCAGAGCAAGTAATACATTTTAATTTTATGAACACGGCTAATCTTAGTAATTGATCTGTTCTCTCTCTGCTTGAAGCAGAGAGCCAAATCTACAGGCCTTTAGAAACTTCGCAGGACCTTACAACATGCATGTCTGTAAGATAACTTTCTCTCCAGTTTCCTCTTATTATTCTTCCCTCCCTCTATAGGACCCCACTTCCTGCATCTTTTTTTTTTTTCCAAGTCTCATTCAGGATGAGGCAGGGGTGTAAACAAACCAAGGAGCTAAGAATTAAATACACTCTGCCCTCCAATTCCAAGTTTGCTTTCCAATATTTTCACCCATCTATCCTGCCTGCAGGACAAGAAAGTAAATGTCAGTACCATCCTTTTTGTTGCTACAGCCGAGGGGTGCGTTTGTGACAAGAAAGTCTGAGGACCAGAGACACTTTCCTTTCCACTTCCTGCCTATCAGGAAGGTTAAAAAAAAGTTACAGTACCCATGATGACACGAGTTCAAGGTATGCTTTGATGTAAAGCATGGTAACATCATGGTTAAGAGCTCAGACTCTGGGGCCGAACTACCTGGGTTCTAATTCTGCCCACTCCTCTCCACTCAGTGGCTAATCTTGGGCACGTTAACTTGATCTTTCTTGACTTAGCTTCATTTCAACATCTGTGAAATGGGAACAATACAGGTACTGACCTCATAGGGTTATTGTGAGAGGTAAATGAGATAACACACAGAAAGTGCTTAGATCAGGGCCTGGTACACTGTAAACGAGAGCCAGGACTATAATAGGCCCCTTCTGTTTTCAACTAAGCCAGGCCACACAGTCTCAAGTTGGATAAAAAGTAATATTTCTCACTGTAAATTAGTACACTGACAGATTATTTCTAGGGTGATCTTATTTTAGTTTGGATCTCATTTACAAATCAGTGTGGAGTCTGAATAGTAGTCATTTTTAACCATTTGCTTTCTGATTTACTGAACAGAAGGAGAAAGCAGTAGGGTCAGACAACAAAAAACGGTTCCTGAGAGTGTATTTCCAACTGGTCACAGTGTGATCCCTAAACCACACCCAGGCAAATACACAAAAACACACCAGGTCCACGCCCCTCCAGCTGTAGCACAGACATCACTGAATGTCTAGAGATAAAAACCTCATGAATGGCGTCTCAGGACCTTCTTTGAAATAAAGTACTCTGCTCAGTTATCAAAGAATAACTCTGCTGTGTTGATTACTTGAGGTCCTGATTTATACATGAATTTAGAAAGCTGCCATTTTCCACAAATGCACTTAGAAGGCAAATTCCTCATCAGACTCCATTTCTAAAGAAACACAGACCCCAACCCTAGCCATGCCCCACCTTTGCTCACACCAGAGCCAACGTCCCAGCAAAGTCACACACAGTCCACCAAAATTCAAGTCCAGGGTGACTGACTATGTCATATATGTGTGTGTACAGAATTTTCAAATAAAATGCCTTGAAACTACCACTGCATGATAGTGAAGAAAGAAAACTGGACGAGATGAAAGTTGAACAGCTTGACCAAAGTTTAGAAAAATCAAGAAAAAAAATCAATCACTGAAAAGACTCTCTCTTAATCAAGGTTACTTTGAAACTGGATATAAATAGATACATTTCAGTCTGTAAGATACTGAAGTAACCTAAGATCAGGAAGAAAAAAGCTGAGAATAAGTCAGAGCCATTTCTCATCCATTTCCTACGTTTCTGTAATGACCTACCCAAGGAAGGCATGAGTTTGTTACAGTATCAAACTGAAATGCGTCAGTCCCTTTTAAATTCTTCCTTCTGCATGTCCCAGAAAATATTCTAGGGATCGAAGAAGAAATGAACAAGGAACATCCGCCAAGAGAGCTGCTTTGAGGAAATCTCACCCTTTCCAGTTTAACTCGACAAACTCACAGAGGGAGGAAAGCAAAGGGCTTGTAGAGCGCCATAAAGTGACATTTCCGAATAGGAATAACAGATTACCCTGCCGCAGCCTAGACTCTTCTAGTCAGGAGCTCAACTACAAGTTTCCTAAACGCTTTTCCCAAGATCTTAAGTTCAATCTGCTGCTCCCCTCTAAAGTCCCAAAGGAGACTCGCTCACCCACCCCACCCTATAAGCAGAGCACTTCCCGTTCGCTTTGGCCGGTCAAGAACTCAAACTTGACAGTGACACCCAGTGAAGGAAAAAAAAAAAAAAGAGGAAGTGGCTGAAGAAAAAACCATTTCAAGACTTTTTTTTTCTCCCCTAAGGGAGATCAATGGCCCTGTCTTCCAGGAAAGCGTCAATGGGACGTAGCCACCACATCGATGGGAAAGCTGCAGCGAATGACAACGCTGAAAAACCGAGGGTGACTCCTCTTTAAAAATGAAAATTGTTAAATTCCTCGAAAATCTTCTTGCGATCTGACTCCTGGAGCGAACGCAGCAACTCCCACCCTGGCGGGTGGATCGCGAAAGCGAGGCTCGGGGCCGGGTACGTGCCTGCCCTGCCCTGCCAAGGAGCAGACGGAGCGCGGGGCACCGCGGCCCGCCCGGGATCCCCCGAGCACCTCCCTTACCTGGTTTGACTGGTTTGGGTGGCGGCTTCGACATCTCTCTTCCTGCAGCGGCTGATTCTGAAGACCACGCACGAAAAGTCAACCCAACGCGCCTCCAGCCGACACTCTGAGCGCCTCAGTTTCTTTTTGTCGGCTTTGCAGCGGTGCGCCTTCAGGAACCCGTGTCTACTCTCGGCAGCCCGACAAGCCGAGGCAGGCAAAGCGGCTCAGCGAAGTGCCCCGCCCCGCCCCGCCCCGTGGCCGACCCAGCTGTCCGGAGCGCGCGGCCCCGCAGACGAGGAAGTGGCCGCCGCCTAGCCGAGCGCTAATTGGCTCCCCGGCTGCCCGCTCCTCCGCGGCAGGAGCGCGGGCGGCGCGCACGGCGGCGCGCCCGGAGGCAGAACCAGGCGGAGCCGGACGGGGAAACCTCAGGCTCGCGTCGGGGCCGGCCTGGTCGCGCGCGCCCTGGACGGGAGAGGGCCGGACCGGGCACGAGCGCGCGCGCGCGCAGGCGCGAGGCCACGCACGCCGGAGGCCCGCCCCGCCCAACGCCGGCCAGAGCGTGCTGCCGCGTCCGCTCCAGGTGGCACGGAACCTGGGTTGGCCATCTCTACTCTGGGCAGCCTCCGACCCGGAAGGGGCGCGGGGAAAGAGGCTGTGCGCCTCTTGGTTAACGAGCTTCGGGGGTTGCGGCGGGTTAGTGACAGGCGCGCGCCTAGCGATCGCCTGTGCCGTTTTGCTCGGGAGCGGTCGAACTAGCGCCCGGTGAGTACCTGCCTGACTCCGCCGCTCCCCGCCACGCAGACTTGCTGGGGCCTGGAGGTGTTTCCAGAGTGTTCCTGCGCTGGAGCCTGAGCCTGGCCGTGTCTTACAAGCTCTGTTTATCTACCACCCTAAATGGACTGATAAGTGGCCTGCCCAGGAGAAAGTGTTGTCCTCACGCCCCCTAATAATCCTTAAAATGGGAGTCGGTCTTCTGGAAACCATACAGGTTTTGGGGAGAAGGCACTGGGGTAGGGGTGAGATCTTGATCCCTCCCGGAGGAGGCAGTCTTCCTCCTCTAGCGTTGAGAGTGATTAACGGAGGCCCTCATTGTTGCCTGTTACTGTACAGCCTAAGAATGGTTTTCACTTTTTTTTTTTAAGATGAATTAAAAGAAATCAAAAGAAGTAGAATTTGTGGTACGTGGAAATTATATGAAATTCAAATTTCAATGTCCATAAAGTTAATTAGAACACAGCCACACTCATTTGCCTCTGTATTGGCTGCGGCCGCTTTCACTTCCTAACAGCGGAGTTGAGCAGCTGCCCACGAAACCCAAAACATTTACGATCTAGAACTTAGCAGAGCAAGTTTGCCCACCCCAGACCTAGCAGGTTGAATCTCCACTGGGAGGCAGGGACTGGAAGAGACAAGAAACGCAGTGGGCGAAAATTTAGAATAGCACAGGCAATATGATAAATGACTTCTATTTGGGGGGGGGGGGGGAAAAAAA